TTTGCTGGCTCAGTAGACAGCTTAGTTCTTGCTGCGTTTGGACAGTGATTAAACCATGGGTGGTTTGGACAGTCAGTTTGGACCACAAGCTCCTACATCTCTGCCCAGGTATATACAAACAGAGCAGCTGCTAAGAGGGATGTCGTAGGGTCCTTCAGGTGCCCAGAAAAGTGAGGCAGAGCAGGCTGCAGAGGCTGAGAACATGCACCCAGGTAACACCCAGCAGTGGAGCTGCCCTGGCCCTGGCCCATCTCCGCTTACAGCAGCACAGCAGCAGTGTGGAAACCAGCAAGCCCAGGCTGCGATGAGAGGTTCGTGCTAACTAGTTTGGTGCCAATGAGTCAGTTATCCAGCAGGTGATGATGGACATCTCCAATAACATAATGAGGTGGTTTTGCTGTGGTTTGTCTGCATTAGGAGCATCCCACGGATGCATTGGTGGGACACTGCCCAAAATGGCACATGGCCCAAGACACAGGGGGTGGGGAAGATGAGGATGCCCCGTGCATCCATCTGTGCCACACATGGCAGTTTTCATGCGTAAGCACCAGCTGATGCACGTTCTGCTCTGTGCTTAGTGAAAGGCCATGGCACATGGTGCATGAGGGGTTTATGATGCCTGTCACACGAGTGGTTTAAAAATGTCTAGGGTGAGAAACTACTAATGTCTGTGGCGTCTGCAGTGTAGGTGTGTTTTATAGATTGCTTTACAGAGAGTTGATTTCTTTGCCCAACTAAATCTCAGGGGAGTCAGCACTAGCCTGGTTGGAAGTGCCATAGCACTGGTCTGGGGAGGTCCCTTGCTGGGTTTTTTTATGCACTGCAAGAGCCAGCCAGAGCTGGTCAGTGAAACCCAGCCACCAGGAACAACCCAGCACAGGACGAGGAAGTGATTCACTTGATGTTTTAGCCAACCTTTGTGTTGAAAAAGCAAACAACACATTGGCTATATCCACAAGCGCTCCCCAGGCTAGGAACACGTCAGATGCCCTGTAGAGCAGGTTTGCTGGGGTTTCTAAAGTACCACTGAAACAGACTCCGATAACCTTGAGACAAATGCAAGTAGCACACTGCCAGTCTCTCTGGGCATCTATTCCTTCCTCCTGCCCTCTGGGTTTGCAAATGCTTGAATTAAATGCGCCCCGTGGGCATGTCTGTATCAAGATCCTTGTGCTGTGTGCCTGCTCCAGCCTGTGGAGACCCGCAGCAAGGTGCCTGTGGGTCTGTGGGGACTGCAAGGTTCCCTTGGCAGCCTCCCTGTGTCCCC